ACACCTGTCGCACCTCTGCAATGATAACAACAACGCACCCTTCTGAATCAGTTCAGACGAGCGAAGCGTGTTCCTATTGAGGATGGACAAACTTCTGGTGTTGTTGTACCTCCTGTTGATGCTTCTTCGGCTCCTGCTGCTGCTGTTGTTGGTGCCGAGGAGGATGACGATTATGTGGGCGATTATGAGGATGAGGTTCATCAAAATCAGAACTACATGCAACCACCAGCACCAGCACCACCAGGTCGTCCTCATGCATATATTCGTAACGATAGGGCTGCACCACCACCTCAGGTATGAGATAATGACCATATCCCCAAACTGAAATTGAATATTCCAACATTTGAGGGTAGATATGTTCCTGATATATATATTACTTGGGAGTTAGAAACTGAACAATGTTTTACCTGTTTACAATATCCCGAGGAAAGACGTGTTGTTGCTGGTGTTTGTGCTTTCACTAGTTTTGCATGTGTTTGGTGGTCTGAACATTGTAGATTATATCCTATTCTAGCTGCTTTGAAAGTTGCTATGCTAACTCGTAGGGTTCCACCATATTATCCACGTGAATTACTAAAAATTGCAGCGTTTAAGGCAAGGAAAAAATATGTAGAAAAATATTATCAGGAATTGCAAACTCGCATGATTAGATGTGGTATTGTTGAGGATAATGAAGCTATACTTGCACGTTTTATGAGTGGATTAAATAAAGAGATTCAGACCATTTTAGAGTATAAGGAGTATAATAATATCATTCATTTATTCCATCTTGCTTGCAAAGCTGAACGTGAAGTGCAGGATCGACAGACATTGGTGCGAACTAACTTTTCTGCAGGTCGACTTTCATCATGGACACCGTGTGCATCCTCTATTTCCACTGCACCAGCACCTCCATCAGTGGCCACTTCCAACCGTGATACAAGAAAGCAGGCACAACCGCTACTATCTTCCAAGAGCACACCTGTCGGGTCTGAACAGAGCTCTTCTTCCGTGGCATCAACAGGGCACACAAGTGATATTATTTGTCGCTGTTTTAAGGGAAGAGGTCATTTTGCGAGAGAATGCAAATCTCAGTGTGTGATGATTGCTATCGAGGATGGTGGGTAGGAGTCCGCTAGTGACTAAGATGAGGAGACTTTGGCTCTTATTACACGTGAAGAACACGGTGGAGATGATTTTGAATATGAGACGCAATACATGGCTCCTGATGACGCTGACAGGTATGAATGTTTAGTTGCTCAATGTGTTTTGAGTGTGCATGTCACAGAAGCTGAGCAAAATTAGTGGCATAATTTGTTCCATACAAAGGGAGTTGTGAAGGAACGTCATCATAGATGGAGGGAGCTGCAACAACTTGGCTAGCATGGAGATGGTGGAGAAACTGGTCCGCATCGGTCCTAAACAAACGGTTCTTAACCCCTTTCCACGACGGCCTTCGAAACCGTCGCCAAGTGAGTGTGTGCGATAGGGGGTCCTTCCCACACGACCCAGAAACCGTCGGGGATATGGAACAGTGATCCAGAGGCCTTCAAAAATGTAATCATGTGCGATGCAGTACACACTAAATTCTTTCACACATGAGTTTATTATCAACCTGTCAGCGTTGCTTTCATCACCCGAAGGTGAGTTCACCTTTTGATAGAGCCATCTGTTTCTCCGACGTGGTGCCGTCTTTCTTGTGTATCTTCATGGCAAACTACTACAAAAAATGATTCTCATAGTTTCTGCAGTTCCTAGGCCAGATAAGTTGTAATTACACAAAATCACTTATCAAGAAATATCCTGCCACGTCTTGATTTGAACACAACGCTCACCTGCATATTGACCGCTGGTCTCCAGGAACTTTCAACCTGTGCAATAAGAAACGCAACCTACCTAGCGAACTTGTAAGTTCATTAAAATTTAGTTGTCTGGAGAAGACAATAATGTTTGCACGGAGGAAAAACAGCATATGTTGGTAATTATTATTCATTTTTCTTAGTTTATGGACTTTGGTGTTGAAGGTTCAAAGGGGCTTAACCACAATCCCGGCACCATTTACTACTATAGTATTTTATTTTGCCTTTTTTGTCTGAATTCTCCTTCATAGCATCTTTACTGCCTGAAATCGTAGCACCAACTATTTTACTTTGTCTATGGACTACAGTGGTGAAGGTTCAAAGGTCGTTAGTCATTATCCATGCAACATTTTCTTATAATATGTCCGATAATAAGGGAAAAAGATACATGTATTCTCTAACAAATTGTGGAGACATAATGTCTTAATTGATGATCTGAAGCTGACCATCTTGTAATCTTAACTGTTGTTGTGGAATAGTCATACGGAATGTTCATATGTGAAGCGTCCACCCAAACAGCTACAACCGGTACCATGACTGCATTGCAGCCACAGGAGCATGTGGGAACATCAAATGGTATTACCCTTTCACACGACGTTTCTACCATTGAAGTATGGTCATCTATAGATCTAGATTTATTAAGTCTAACCATGTACTAGGTATATTGCTTCAATGTGGGTCTTGGATTTAATAAATTACACACTGGCCATGCAGAATACCCTACCGCACGTCAAGGAGCACCTAGTGGTGCTGAAGATATTGCTTCCAATGCAAGCGTTAAAGAAGACAAAAATCAACAAAGACGGAACCGTGATAAAGCAAGGAGAGATGGCCTAATCCCGAGCAAAGGGAAGAAGTGAATGCACGTCGAAGAGCATCTAGACAAAATAAACTATTGAAGATAGGAATGCAAGCCAAAGGGCTGCCACACAAAATCTGACAACCAAGGAGAGGCAAGAGATGAACGCCCGTAGAAGGGCAGCGAGTAAAAATATATCGGTTGAGCAGAGGCAAGAGATGAACGCCCGTCGAAGAGCACGCAGGCAGAGCATACCACCGGATGAGAGGAAGGCATTGCGGGCTCAGCAAAACACGTGCCTTGCAGCTAAGCAGAAGACCCAGTGCGCTGAATGCATCGCAATGCCTTCCCATATGCATATCTCTAATGAGTCACCATGTTCTGTTACTGAAGTTCTCATGTGTCCAGTCTATATTTTCCGGTTACTTGTTAATCGTGCTTTCCAGAATTCAGTTGTAGATTGCTATTCTATTAGTCCTCTATGGAGGAAATTATCAAATGAAAGTTATACATATGTACTTACAGATAAATTTATATGAACATTGAACCATGAATTAATTCCTGGGCATACGCAGTTTTGAGTCCATTTCGATTTCCGACTTATTAGCCACATGATATATTTATGTACAGTATCTAATAATGACATGCAATTGTGATGATTTTAAAACGGGCACTCTAGGGAACTTTTTGTGCTTCCAAGTTACAATTAATCCTTTTGGTTGCCATTATGTCTAGCATAGTCTGCCTGAAAGTTCATGAGGTATGACTTAAATGGGTGACCTGAGCTACGACCTAAATGGGTTGCAAATTATTATCCTATACCTAAATCAGAGGCCCGTAGTTCTGAACTAACTATCCCATACCTAAGTTAATGGCCCATAGTTTTAAGCTAATTGTTCTGCACCAATTTCCAACTGTACAACTCAGATCTGCAGCAACTAATCATTGGGAGCTCTATGAACAATTTAAATTTATATCTCGGTCCACCTTCTGTACCCATCATCACCGCACGTGATTGCAGCAGATTGAGCGACAAGAGGACTGGTCGCTCCAGAACAAGATTCCTGACATTTGCTCGTTAAGATACTCGATTTGTTATATAAAAAGTTCTATCTATTGTAGTGAAGCCAATTTCATCAATTTATAGTTGACACTGATTTTCTTGTTATTGGCCATGGATTGAATCGGATATTGATCAAATTATCCCTATGCACTAATGTCAATTTAATCAATTTCATAGTTGACAGACACTAATTTTTAGTTTTTACTCTAACTTGTTATTGGCCATTGATTGAATAGAATAACTATCATATTATCTCTACGCCCACAAGCATAGTTCATGCTCCTAGGAAACAAGCAAAAACTGAAACTCACGAGAGCAACAAAGAAAAAAGAGAATTTACATGTGTGGTTCTATCATGTCTCATGTGGAGTCCGGGTCTGCCGCCTCCGACTATGTGCAGATGTACCAGGGTATACACTAATATGAAAATGCTTCTGTCTAACTAGACAATAAATAATCCAGTAATAATCATTATTGGCAAGATTCAAGCTAGGAAGGAACATGATAGAGAGGCAAAAGTAACTTTTCAAAAGAAAAAAAGGGATATTGTGAGGATAAATAGATTTCACATTGAAAGCCACATTAAGAAGATCTTACCTTATGAGGATTTTACATATGTGCATTTCCATGATATAATAAGGAAATTTCACATATGTGCATTTCACACTGATAGGCCCATCTATCTTATGAGGATGGATTTCAAAAATTGCATAGGTTGGTCTTTAGAGAGAAATGGCGAGGAAAATGTGAAGTAACCAAAGAGTATCAAGAAGTATTGTGAGTACCCCTAGGTATGAACATCTCCAGGCCTTTCTCTTCTATCTAAAGGTGTAAGAATTATTAGATTCTGCTTATGCTTCCCAAACTTATTACTCTTCTGACCTTGGGCTCTTCATTTCCGCGGCAACCTATCCTGGATTATTTTCATATTTAATCTAAAGAATCCATTGCAGTAGTTGAACTGTTAAAACTAAGATTAGCTGATTAGGAACTAACTGATTTAATTTTGATGTAGATTTTGGGCATTAAAATTTAGCTTCTACCAATTGATGAAAAAATGTCTAGCAAATACAAACCCAATTTACATTAACGACACTAATCCCGGTTTAGTTCCTGGAACACTTGAGCATTTTGTTCTTATCAATTGTATAAGCTACCTTGACCTTTACATTCCCCAATAGTTTTTTGTTAAGTGCATCTGTTCTTCCCCAATAGAATAATAGAAAAAAGGAGACACAGAACAGACAAAACAAGAACAAATGGATGCAGAAAAAAACACTCAAAAAAGACTAACCGTCATTCAGTACGAGCAAAAGTCAAACACCTTTGGTATCCTGCTCGTTACTCTGCCAGAAATCACATACTTGATGATGCCAGTAAGTATCCAATCATAAACAAGCTCATAGAAATCAAAACCACTTGTGTGCTTTGAATCAACAAGCAAGGTCAAAAACTCAGTGTGAATCTGATCGCTGGAAGATGGAAAAAGGAAGCACGGCATTGCGATCACCATGAAGCATATGAAAGTGTCTTCCTCACTGAGGAAATCAGAAGATATGAGCATGTCTCCAAAGAAAATATTGTTTGGCGTCAAGCTGAACCGAGGCAAAATGAAGTTCCTCACACTATCCTTATCTTGTTTCGCTAAATCACCACAGTTTGGCAGGCCCAGCACACAATGAACTGAATCCTTTGAGATAGAAATGATCTTATTATTAGCAACATTGATTTGAGATGACATTGTGTCTACACATTCGATAATCCAGCAGACAAATCCTTACAGGATATCAGTTTTCTTAAATTTTAGAAGAGGCTCGAACCCGTATTCTAAGATCACGTCCTTAGAACCACTGGACATACGCCTCATGATATCTGCAAAGTATTTTGTGGAAAACACATTGAACACATGCCTCCCCGCTCCCATAACCTTTTGCCTCTTATCCTGCTGAAAGGCAATAATCATGAGTGGATTGTCAGGGGTAACTAACATAAAAAGAATGAAAGCGAAGAGGAAAAAAGGACCAAAGAAGAACAGAGATAGACACTTATGAGGACAAAAAAGTGTAATACCTCAGTTTCAAGGTCGGCATTCTTGCAGAATTTTGAACAATCTTGAGTGATTTGATTGCCTGATAGATGACATATGAAAAAGATGTTTATATCAGATAATTTCGCAATGTAAAGACAAAAGAGAGAGAAAATATGTGCATACCATAGGTCTAGAAAAAAATAGAAAAGAAGAGAAAGCACATGAGAGAAAGAGATGGATACCTCCTTTCTAAAAAAACCAAATAAAGCATCTTCTAATAACTTCTTCCTCGTCGAAACAGATTCTTCATCACGAGATGCAATGCTCTCATCGCAACTCTCAGTGTTTGGCGAACCATCATCAGGGTCGTAGTTGGGTTCATAGCATCCACTCGATGATCTCTGCCCCCCAAGAATCCCCTCATAAGAGACTCAATCCGATAAGATAACTTCAAAGGGAAAACTCAATTCATCACAAGAGAGTAGAGGGGGAGAAACATCATAAAATCCAACTACAATAGCAAAGCTCGAGATACATCAAGATCGTGCCATAGAGGGAACACGAGAGAGAACACGAGAGAGAACACGAGAGAGAGAGAGAGAGAGAGAGAGAGAGATCAAACACGTAGCTACTGGTACATACCCTCAGCCCCGAGGGTGAACTACTCCCTCCTCATCATGGAGAGCGTCGGGATGATGAAGGTGGCCACCGGTGATGGATTCCCCCTCCGGCAGGGTGCCGGAACGGGCTACCGAGAGGTTTTTGGTGGCTACAGAGGCTTGCGGCAGCGGAAATCCCGATCTATCTTGATATTCGATGTTTTTAGAGTACGTAGGGATATATAGGCGAAAGAAGTCGGTCGGGAGGTGCTCGAGGGGCCCACAAGACAGGGGGGTGCGCCCAGTAGGGGGGGCGCCCCCTATCTCCTGGCCTCCTCGAGGATTTTCTGACTTGAACTCCAAGTCTCCAGGATGATATTCTTCCCAAAAATAACGCTGCCGAAGGTTTCATTCCGTTTGGACTCCGTTTGATATTCCTTTTCCTCGAAAAACTGAAATAGGCAATAACACAGCAATATGGGCTGGGCCTCCGGTTAATAGGTTAGTCCCAAAAGTAATATAAAAGTGAATAATAAAACCCAATATTTCCCAAAACAGTAGATAATATAGCATGGAGCAATCAAAAATTATAAATACATTGGAGACGTGTCAAGCATCTCCAAGCTTTATTCCTGGTCGTCCTCGAGTAGGTAAATGATAAAAAAGATAACTTTTGATGTGGAATGCTAGTTCGCATAATTTCAATGTAACTCTTCTTAATTGTGGTATGAATATTCAGATCCGAAAGATTCAAGACAAAAGTTCATATTGACATAAAAATAATAATACTTGAAGTATACTAACTAAGCAATTATGTCTTCTCAAAATAACATGGCCAAAGAAAATTATCCCTACAAAATTATATAGTCTGGCTATGCTCTATCTTCACCACACAAAGTATTTAAATCATGCACAACCCTGATGACAAGCCAAGCAATTGTTTCATACTTTTGACATTCTCAAACTTTTTCAATCTTCATGCAATACATGAGCGTGAGCCATGGATATAGCACTATGGGTGGAATAGAAGGGTGGTTGTGGAGAACACAAAAAGGGAGAAGATAGTCTCACATCAACTAGGCGTATCAACGGGCTATGGAGATGCCCATCAATAGATATCAATGTGAGTGAGTAGGGATTGCCATGCAACGGATGCACTAGAGCTATAAGCATTTGAAAGCTCAACAAAAGAAACTAAGTGGGTGTGCATCCAACTCGCTTGCTCACGAAGACCTAGGGCATTTTGAGGAAGCCCATCATTTAAATATACAAGCCAAGTTCTAAAATGAAAATTCCAACTAGTATATGAAAGTGACAACATAGGAGACTCTCTATCATGAAGATCACGGTGCTACTTTGAAGCACAAGTGTGGTAAAAGGATAGTAGCATTGCCCCTTCTCTCTTTTTCTCTCATTTTTTTGTTTTTTATCTTTTTTGGGCTTTTCTCTTTTTTTATGGCCTCTTTTTTTCTCTTTTTTTTATTTTTCGTCTGGAGTCTCATCCCGACTTGTGGGGGAATCATAGTCTCCATCATCCTTTCCTCACTGGGACAATGCTCTAAAAAATGATGATCATCACACTTTTATTTTCTTACAACTCAAAAAATACAACTCGATTCTTAGAACAAAATATGACTCTATATAAATGCCTCTGGCGGTGTACTGAGATATGCAATGACTCATGACTGACATGTGTTGGGGAACATAGTAATTTCAAAAAAATTCCTACGCACATGCAAGATCATGGTGATGCATAGCAACGAGAGGGGAGAGTGTTGTCCACATACCCTCATAGACCGATAGCGGAAGCGTTATGACAACGCGGTTGATGTAGTCGTACGTCTTCACGATCCGACCGATCCAAGTACCGAACGTACGGCACCTCCGAGTTCAGCACACGTGCAGCTCAATGACGATCCCCGGACTCCGATCCAGCAAAGTGTCGGGGATGAGTTCCGTCAGCACGATAGCGTGATGACGATGATGATGTTCTACCGATGCAGGGCTTCGCCTAAACTCCGCGACGATATGACCGAGGTGGAATATGGTGGAGGGGGCCACCGCACACGGCTAAGGAACGATCACGAAGATCAACTTGTGTGTCTATGGGGTGCCGCCTGCCCCCATATATAAAGGAGTGGAGGAGGGGGAGGGCCGGCCCTCTCTATGGCGCGCCCTAGGGGAGTCCTACTCCCGCCGGAAGTAGGATTCCCCCTTTCCTAGTAGAACTAGGAGCCCTTCCAAGTAGTAGGAGTAGGAGAGGAGGAAAGGGAAGAGAGAAGGAGAAGGAAGGAAGGGGGCGCCCCTCCCCCTCCCTAGTCCAATTCGGACTAGTCCATGGGGAGGGGTGCGGCCACCCTTTTGGCCTTTTCTCTCCTTTCCCGTATGGCCCATTAAGGCCCAATACGAATTCCCGTAACTCTCCGGTACTCCGAAAATACCCGAATCACTCGGAACCTTTCCGATGTCCGAATATAGTCGTCCAATATATCAATCTTTACATCTCGACCATTTCGAGACTCCTCGTCATGTCCCCGATCTCATTCAGGACTCCGAACTCCTTCGGTACATCAAAACTCATAAACTCATAATAAAATTGTCATCGAAACCTTAAGCGTGCGGACCCTACGGGTTCGAGAACTATGTAGACATGACCGAGACACGTCTCCGGTTAATAACCAATAGCGGAACCTGGATGCTCATATTGGCTCCTACATATTCTACGAAGATCTTTATCGGTCAAACCGCATAACAACATACGTTGTTCCTTTTGTCATCGGTATGTTACTTGCCCGAGATTCGATCGTCGGTATCTCAATACCTAGTTCAATCTCGTTACTGTCAAGTCTCTTTACTCGTTACGTAATACATCATCCCGCAACTAACTCATTAGTTGCAATGCTTGCAAGGCTTAAGTGATGTGCATTACCGAGAGGGCCCAGAGATACCTCTCCGACAATCGGAGTGACAAATCCTAATCTCGAAATACGCCAACCCAACATGTACCTTTGGAGACACCTGTAGAGCTCCATTATAATCACCCAGTTACATTGTGACTTTTGGTAGCACACAAAGTGTTCCTCCGGCAAACGGGAGTTGCATAATCTCATAGTCATAGGAACATGTATAAGTCATGAAGAAAGCAATAGCAACATACTAAACGATCAAGTGCTAAGCTAACGGAATGGGTCAAGTCAATCACATCATTCTCCTAACGATGTGATCCCGTTAATCAAATGACAACTCATGTCCATGGCTAGAAAACTTAACCATCTTTGATTCACGAGCTAGTCAAGTAGAGGCATACTAGTGACACTATGTTTCTCTATGTATTCACACATGTATTACGTTTCCTGTTAATACAATTCTAGCATGAATAATAAACATTTATCATCAAATAAGGAAATAAATAATAACTTTATTATTGCCTCTAGGGCATATTTCCTTCAGTGTCCCTCTTGCACTAGAGTCAATAATCTAGTTCACATCGCCATGTGCTTTAACACCAATATTCATCTCTGTATATGATTAACACCCATAGTTCACATCGTCATGTGGCCAACACCCAAAGGGTTTACTAGAGTCAATAATCTAGTTCACATCACTATGTGATTAACACCCAAAGAGTACTAAGGTATGATCATGTTTTGCTTGTGAGAGAAGTTTAGTCAACGGGTCTGTCACATTCAGAGCCGTATGTATTTTGCAAATATTCTATGTCTTCAATGCTGCACGGAGCTACTCTAGCTAATTGCTCCCACTTTCAATATGTATCCAGATTAAAACTTAGAGTCATCTGGATCAGTGCCAAAACTTTTATCGACGTAACCATTTACGACGAACCTTCTGTCACCTCCATAATCGAGAAACATATCCTTATTCCACTAAGGATAATTTTGACCAATGTCCAGTGATCTACTCCTAGATCACTATTGTACTCCCTTGCCAAACCAGGGCAGAGTATACAATAGGTCTGGTCCATAGCATGCATACTTTTATAGAACCTATGATTGAAGCATAGGGAATGACTTTCATTCTCTTTCTATTTTCTGCCGTGGTTGGGATTTGAATCTTACTCAATTTCACACCTTTGCAACATAGGCAAGAACTCTTTCTTTGACTGTTCCATTTTGAACTACTTCAAAATCTTGACAAGGTATGTACTTATTGAAAAACTTATCAAGCGTCTTGATCTATATCAATAGATTTTGATGCTCAATATGTAAGTAGCTTTACTGAGGTGTTTCTTTTAAAGAACTCCTTTCAAATACTCCTTTATGCTTTCCAGAAAAATTCTACGCCATTTCTGATCAACAATATGTTACTCACATATATTTATCAGAAAGGCGGTAGTGCTCCCACTCACTTTATTGTAAATACAGGCTTCACCGCAAGTCTGTATAAAACTATATGCTTTGATCAACATATCAAAGCGTATATTCTAACTCTGAGATGCTTGCACCAGTCCATAGATGGATCGCTGGAGCTTGCACATTTTGTTAGCACCTTTAGGATTGACAAAAACTTCTGGTTGCATCATATACAACTCTTCTTTAAGAAAACCATTAAGGAATGCAGTTTTGACATCCATTTGCCAGATTCATAAAATGTGGAAATTGCTAACATGATTCGGACAGACTTAAGCATCGCTACAGTTGAGAAAATCTCATTG